TCTTGTTCTATCTCAGCCTGTGTCCACTTCTTCCCAAATGACCTTTGTGGAAGTAGGTTTTCCCTTTCTTAATTATTCCCAGCTGCTAGTCCTAGCCCAGGGCCCTCACGTTCTAGTACTTGTTTCTATCTCCTATTCTCTACCTTTCCCTTACCCCACCTTCTAGTACATCCTTTGAGTCTGCCTTCCAGTGCCTTCCCACCTCACCCCTCCCAGTGGTTTGAGTCTTGAGCACTTACATGTGTCTTCACGTTGCTCCGGAGGGGTCAAACTGACAGCAGAGCTGCTGGGGAACCTAGGGACGTGGAGTTCAGGCAAGCAGGTGGAGTCAAGGGCACAGAGAAGTACCTCTTCTGAACTCACTAATGCAGTTCCTGTGCTCTCACCAGTCTGGGTGTTCATCATCATTCTGAACCTGGAGACTTTTAGAGGGTCCAATTTTAGATGGCCGAGGGGGATGAAAAATAGTAACTGACTGGTTTACTGTTTTTTATCTTTAATAGTAAAATGTTATGTATTACATTTTGTGGAATATTCCACTTCCAGGTTGTCTTCCTTCTGCCTGTACACTATCCTTTTCTCTCCTGTCCCTCCCCCAGTAAGTGGCTGATTCAGGAGGGGGAGTGGGGTCTGCATTAGGACAGGTCATCTTCCTGAGTATGCTTGAGTGGACAAAAGGCTGGGTCTGCAGCATGATGAACCTTAGCTGCCTACCGTGTGGCTTTGCACACTCCCCTGAGGACCTTGCTACCTTCATACCTGAGATCAGCTGTTCTCCCACAACCCTTTGGAAATTTGAGGATTGCCAGGACTCATTCTACCACACGGTATTTTTTAATTGACACCCCCATTGGTTAATTTTTTAAAACATTAGTTTTTCTACCTTATAGGTAATGTTGGCTAGTGTACAATTGTGTTTTAGAAGTGCCTTTTGTTTGGCCTAGAAGGAAAGGTAAGAGGGACACATAGTCTGAGGCACTAGCACTCTCGGCCTTTTGGAGGGGAGACAGGCCCTGCAGCAGACTCCATAGAAGGGCAGGTTTTAGGCAGATAGGGAGGATGCTTGGGATGACCCTCAATTCAGTGAATTCTGGGATCTGTGGACACCCAGAATTCTATGACCTGTATTCCTGTGAGCTTTCAAACATTTTTGGTGATTATCATTTAAAATCTAATAAATGCATTGAAGAAATCTATTTGGGGTACTTTACACTTCTGGGGAGCAATGACCAGTGAAGTTGGTTGGGAGCACACAGGTTTTAGGGTCACAGGGGCCAAGATTGGATTCCTGGTGCTGTGTATAGGACCCTGCGAGAGAATCTGAGTTTCTCCATGCTGTGGGGGTGGAGGGATGTGGGGGGTGTCAGTGTAGGCATAACTGTTATCAGTGATAGCTTAGGACATACTCACTTAAATGCTCCCCTACCAGCCTTTTACATGAATAGAATAAGTATTGTATTTTTAACAAAAGTTAATGGTTATATTATGGGGAAGGAAACAAATATTTGCTTTTATTACTCAACAGAGAACACAGAGATCATGGGTTCTTGCATTTACTTTGTGGTTACCCCTTGGACCTTCTGGGAGAAACTAATTCCCAAAGAGTTTTTTCTTTTCTTTGCACTTTTTCTTTTTTAAGAGAAATATATACTCTATCTTGGACTTTTGATGACACAATGTCTTGAATTTCTTTGTTGAGTGGAGATACCAGTGGATTTGGGGCAGGAAGCCCAGGTCCTAATGCAGCAGTTCACTTCTTAGTGACCTTGGGAACCTGGGGTGGGGGGATTGCTGGGAGGCTGGCCCATGTGATCTCTGAGGATCCTTCCTGCTTAGGTTTGGTGTTCTTTGTCCTGCAATTTTGTGAATATTTCTCCAGAAATTGATTAAATTGCTTCTATTGGTATCTAGCCCATTAGTTAAGCATTTTGAAAGTTACCTAATGCTTAGAGCCCTCGTCACTCCACTGTCATAAAGTAGTGATTTAATAAGATGTGCCTCCCACTTGAAAAACATTCCTGTGCTTCACTGAGAGCTGGTTTACCTATGTCACTTGTAGCTTTTGTTGCCTTGGACTGGTTACTCATTCTCTCAGTACCTGTAAAATGAGGTTTGTGGGTTAACACTTCTTAAAATTTTTTTAATTTTTATTTTGTTAGTTTGTGGGTTAACATTTTTTTAGGTCATGGACCCTTTTGAAAGCTGTGCACTCCATTTCCATGGGAATGCATATATTCTCAAGGATTTGCATTTAATCTTCAGAAGTTAAATGGGAGAAATCCCTTCAGGGCCCCCCAGTTAGGAACCCCTGGGCTTGATACTCTCTCAGATTAAGAGATTAACAAGAAACCCTTACCTAGCTATTGCTAAACACCAAGCACTGATCTAAACACTTCCAGACATAAAGTCATTTAACGTTCAAAACAACCCTGCAAGGTAGGTGCTGATATTATCCTCACTTTACAGATGAGGACACTGATGCACAGAATTTGCCTCAAAGTCCCACAGCTTCTAGATATCGGAGCCAGGATTCAAACCAAGGCATCCTGGCTCAGAGTCTGTGCTCTGAATTAACACTCTACTGCCTTGAGAAATGGGTGGGCTAGTTTTTGTGAGAGGGAACCTGAGGGACTCTGGATGTATATACATGAACGAAAAGTGTGGAGACTGCAGGGCTTCTGGCCTGTGCAGGGGCACGGAGGAGCCTGGACTGGCTGTAGCTGAGGTAGGGCCTTGTTATTGAAAGTGAGAATATCACCTTTCCGGGAAGGGGACAGACGTGGCAAACGGCAAAAGAGGTTTTTTTTAGGGCCGGCCCAGTGGCGCGCTGGATAGTGCGCCGCTTGGGAAGCACGGCGGCGCTCCCGCCCGAGGGTTCGGATCCCACATGCGGACCAGTTCCCGCTCGCTGGTTGAGCGAGGCGCGGGAGCAACACCGAGGGTTGCGATCCCGTTGCCGGTCCCCGGTCCGGTACGGGGGCAACACTGAGGGTTGCGATCCGTTGCCAGACACGGAAAAAGACAAAAGACAAAAAAAAAAAAAAAAGAGGTTTTTTTTAGGGCCGGCCCAGTGGCGCGCTGGATAGGGCGCCGCTTGGGAAGCACGGCGGCGCTCCCGCCCGAGGGTTCGGATCCCACATGCGGACCAGTTCCCGCTCGCTGGTTGAGCGAGGCGCGGGAGCAACACCGAGGGTTGCGATCCCGTTGCCGGTCCCCGGTCCGGTACGGGGGCAACACTGAGGGTTGCGATCCGTTGCCAGACACGGAAAAAGACAAAAGACAAAAAAAAAAAAAAGAGGTTTTTTTTAGATAACTACGTTGGGAAAATGGGAGGAGCAAGAGGAACCAGCAGCAAGACGAGAAATACAGGATGAGCACTAGAAAAGAAACAGTGTTGGGGCATGTTGGAGAAGCCCCAAGGGAGTGTGGGTCAGCAGCAGCAGCAGCAGGTGTCGCCAGGAGCGTGTGACAGGGAGATTTGGCCTCAGCCTTCACTGTAGGTTCTCAGTGGGGTACTGGAGGCCCAGCCCAGTGCAGGAAGGTAGGCATGGAGCAGGTGAAGACTGTTAGTGGGGAGGAGCAGGGCTCCAGGGCTCACCTGCCTGGGTTTGGATCCAGGCCTGGGCAGATCACTTCCCTCCTGTGAGCTTTCATTGCTTCTCTGCCGTGAAAAGGAGGCGATGGCAGTGCCAGCCTCCTAGGGTTAGTATGAGGATCAGTGAGCTAACCTGCAGCACACCCATGCAGTAGCCTGCACTTGGTGCTCCCCTTTTGCTGCTCACGGTACTATGACGAGGCTCCCTGTGTCACCCTGTAGACAGACCAACCTGCACTTGAACTCAGCCCCACTACTTACTGCAGTGGCATCTCGGGCAGGTTTCGGAACTCTTCCAACCCTTGTCTTCCTCACCTACAAAGTGGGGAAGATAAAGCCTCCCCTGCCAGACTGTGGGGTTACAATCAGTCAACCCACCTGCACAGAGCTTGTGACTGCCATTCCCATGGCTTGTTTGTCCCCCCACTGAAGGAGCACCAGCAAGCTGGCACTCTGAGCAGCCTCTTTGTATTCTGGCTGTCTCACACAGGTAGTGAAGGATCCAGAAACATGTTCTTCAGATGTTGCTTGCTTTATCAAGCCAGCCCACTATAGGACCACATCTGAGAGAGGAAAGCTAAAGTGTGCACTGCGTGTAAAGATTTTGGGAACCTCAGGCTCGTGTGATACTTAGAGCACTACATTTCAGGCATTCCATGCAGACCGCACCTGAGACTCAGCAACCCATGCCTCATCCTGCTGCTGAAAACGCACCCTGCTGTAGAGCTTTAGTCACTGTGTAACACTCAACTTTCTGTCAACCTTTATCATTCCTGGGGATGTCAACTCTTGATAGGCCTTTCTGAGTTATTTGAGCTTCAAAAAATAGATTTGTGTTAGATACACAGTATAAGTGGTTACATTTATTTATCTCTAGGGTGGAAGACATGGCCATGTGTACACACTGTCCTCTGGGCGGTAGTAAGGCTGCAGTAAGAGGGCCAGATGATATTTAGCATGGATTTGGGCCTTGAGAGAATTAAGCCCTAACAGCCAGGGTATCACTCGAGGTCATTTCTACCCTGGGCATTGGAAATGGAGCTAGTTGTGCACCCTCCTTGGGACAGGTGATAAATTAATCAAATTTCTGTGTTCCATGTTCAGAGTGGGGGCCCAGGTTGAGAACAGCTTTGAGTAATACAGCCAGATGATCAAAGGTGGGGGCTGCCAAGGAAAGGAGGTACCTGGGTGCACTGTGTAGGTTTGCTGGGAGGGGGTGGGAGGTAGGACAGTCTGTCTGTGACTGAGACCCTCAGAGTTACAGCTGGCACGCTGCAGTTACATTAACTTCTAAGAACTTATGGCACTGTTTACTGTGCAGAGTTGATGCCAACCAGCTTCTCATTGGTAAATTTCTTCTCTTGTATGGGCCTTGGATTCAGATTGGTAGCATAAACCCTGGAAGTAATGATACCAAAACATCTCTATTCTCATTGTTGGAATGAAAACAGAATTATAGTGTGGCCCCAAAGCACATCAGATGCCCAGACCTCTATCTTTAAGAACTGAGGGGGTTGGCCACCCTCCCCATGAAGAGCAGGCAGCTGGTGCGGTGCTCGTAGACCAGGAACAGAAAGGGACGGTCGACGGTGAAGCGGACTTGGGTGGACAGCGGCATGAACCCGACCGTGGTCACGGCAGCAGCCTGGGTGCCCTCTTCATTCACTGTGATGGTGCCTTGGTGCTTGAACTGTTTCAAATTGGAAAGGAAAGATGTCAGATTCCACAGGTCGGCGTTCAGAGGGATAGAGTATCTAGCAGAGTCATCTCATTCAGGGAAAGGGTCCAAAGAGCACATATAAGGCAGAAATCATAGCTGGCCAAAATTACCCTTGAAAATATCTCATCACCTGTCAAGTGTGGTAATTATGCTCAGAGGCCATGTTGTATATACATACTTACATGTAAACTCTGGAATCACATCCCTCCCAGCAGTGCCCACAGTCTGAGAGGCCAAGGCAGCTGCTCCAGCCCCCGTCTCCTCCTTATGCTGGGGGTGCACTCCCATGAGAAGCGTGGGGCCTGGGCCTGCTTCATCACTGGACTCATGCCCTCTCTTTTTTGCTGAGTGCCTATTGTTGGTCTGTTAAGTTAAACGCGCGGGTAGTACAGTTTCTCTGTATGTATTTAATAGTCTTAAGATTCAGCTAGGTGTAGCTGTTTCAGACTGGAGCACGTGCCTCCCCTCTCTCTGCTGTCAGCAGTAATGGGGCTTGCACCAAGACTGCTCCCTGTGACCGCCTGCCCACCAAGCATCTGGCAGTGCCCTGCTCCCCTGGCCAGCCCCTGCAGAACTGAGCACTGTGCTCAAAGCAGCCAGACCCAGGAGAGCAGGCTCACACCCCCTACCTGGGAAGTCAGAACAGGTGGAGGTGGGGCTATTCTGGGGTAGAATCTTGGGCCAGGGCAGGGGGTGGATGAGGGAGCAATTACCAGGTCGATGGTGATCTTTTGGTCCGAGATTCCTGCCATGTTGCCATTTTTGTCAAACAGCATTGTGATCCCCATCGACTTCAGGGCCTCCACCAGATTGTAGTTCTTCTCCAGCTTGAATTTGGGCAGAAGCACCTCTCGTGTTCTAGTTGGAGAAGAAAAGGGGCCCAGTTTTACTGAACCACAGGTTACAAAATAATCATGTTTTTCCCTTTAAATGTCTAAAGCCTACCTTCCTGGGTTGCATTTAGACAGAATCAACAATTTTATTGTTAAAATTTATATACCGATACTGTCAGTTGAGAATTTTGGAAAGACCATCCCATTGTAATTCCAGTCACTTAAAATTGAGGCATGTTTACTGTTATGTGGTCATTTCTTTGGTACTGTGTGATTCATTTCCTGTCTTCAAGGTCAGCAGCAGAACTTTTACTGGTTTATGGTTTGAGAAGGTATCTAACATAATTCTCTTATTTGGTGCCCCAATTTCAGGCAGTTACTTTGTTAATTAAGGAGTTGAATATCTGGTCAGTGTTCTTAAAAAAAGAACATTTTCTATCTATACCAGATAGTGCTGAACATTCTCAGTCCTTGCCTCAACTCATTCCATCTCTAACTGGGTGAACAATAGTGGTGCTCATGGGACCAGTCTGGCACTTTGTGGGGATAAAGAGATGTAAGACACAGTCCCCCTTCCCAAGAGCTTGCTTTCCTTTTGGAAACCCAGACTCACGTAAGTAAAACCATGAAAAAGTAAAGATGGTGTGTTAATAGCTGAATGACTAGAACAGATCTAACTTCTGGAGCTATTCAGGAGGGGGTATAGACAAGGGGTATTCATGTGGCCTAGAAGGATGCCTGAGGCTCAGAAAATGGGACAGGACACTACGTGAGCAAAAACCTTTGGGGAGCTCTGAGCAGGGCTTGCTGGAGGGAGCATGTGGGGGGAGGAATGAGGCAGTGGGGCAGGAGAGGAGGAGCCAAACAAATGGGGGGGGGCAAGAAGCTGGGGTCTTGGGAATGCTGATCTGATAGCCAGTGCACAAGTGGGCTGAGTAATGGAACAGGCAGCCTGGCTAGGCATCCCTGGACAGGCAGAGAGATTAGGAAGGAGGTGGGTTCAGAAGAGACACTTTTAGGGAAAAATCCACAGGACTCGATGACTGGTTGGCTACCTAGGCAAATACCTTCCTCCAAGAGCCTACTCCTCAGTTTTGTTGCATTTCTTTGTATTCTTGCCCTGTAAGGAGACTCAAACCAGATTCACTTCTTCATTTGGGCCCAACCAGTATCCAGTAAAACAGAAATAAGGCCTCTCCATTCTTTCTGCCATGATCCAGTAATAATCTCAGTAAATATTTAAAACATGCAGTTTTAACTATGGAATAATAAGTCATAATAGAGCAAAATCATGAATGACAGGTCCTCAGTGGGCTAAGAGGACCTCAGGATTTTCTGGGTGGGAAAGAGGACAGCTGATCTTTGTTGAACTCCACCTAGATTCCGGGCACTGGGAGCAATGCTCAATGTCACATATTCTATTTATTTCTCACAGTGACTCTGGAAAGTAAGGAATCCCCTTTTAGGGTTGATGAAGCTGGGGCTTCAAGATACAAAGCAAATACGTAGCAGAGCTGGGATTGTTCCCAAGCTGACTCTAAGTCACCTGCCCCTAATTTCTGGAACTGCCCTGTGGAGAGCAGATGTGTCCCTCCAAATGCTCTCTGATCATCTCTCACTGAGCAAGAAATTTGGGCTGAATTAACAGTGGTCTGTATGACAGTTCTTGGGTAGCTGTACATACTTCTCCCTTTTCTTAAAACAACCAGAGTTCTGGTGTCCCTGGATACCCCCAGTCTCCAGATCAAAAGAACAAACCCACATCCTGAAGTACCTGTTTGTCATGCTTTTTTGCCATCTCTCCGTGATCATCTCTCACTGAGCAAGAAATTTGGGCTGAATTAACAGTGGTCTGTATGACAGTTCTTGGGTAGCTATACATACTTCTCCCTTTTCTTAAAACAACCAGAGTTCTGGTGTCCCTGGATACCCCCAGTCTCCGGATCAAAAGAACAAACCCACATCCTGAAGTACCTGTTTGTCATGCTTTTTTGCCATCTCTCCACCACCTGAGGGGTCAGCTGTGCTTCCAGGGTCTTCATCCCAGACAGCTTGTGCGGGACCACAATTAACATGCTGATGCCCCCCACATACTCTAGCCGGAGGACGTCACAGTCGAGTTCCTGGTCATTCGCTGCGAGAAAGTTCCCCTTGGTCTGCATCATGGAAACCTTGACCACCTCTCGTTCGTTCAGCCGGAAGTTATGGTTGTGTGTCATTTCCACTGGGAATTTATTCACCCAGGATCCTGTAAAGTCAACAGGAACAGCACTGTTATTAGTGTTCCTTTAAAGCAGTGGTCTTCACCCTGGAGCATACATGTGAATCCCTCTGGATTTATTCAAACAAACTGCAGCCCCCCCCCCCAGTCTCTGATTCCTGAAGTCTGGTTTGGGTCAAGAATTTGCATTTCTAACAAGAGAGGTTAAATGGACTGGAATGGATTTTGCATTAGATTCTGGCACTAATTTGTAGTTTCACTCTGGCAAGACACTGACTTGCCTGGGCTTGTACTTCTTCATCTGTAAAGTGCATAGCTTTGTGCTCCTTTCAGCTTGATTTTGATGGCCTTCACCCCTCACACTGTGGTTCTGTAGTGACCAGTAGGACAAGTGGGTGATGTGGGGTTGCCCTCAGGATCTGCAGTATAAATTTGGGTGCAGCACTGTGTGTCTAGGAGTAAGTCCATGTCTGTTTTAGCTTGAAGATTCTAGTAACTAATAATGACAGGGGACCCACAGGTGAGAGCTGGTGTTCTCCATGTGCCAGGTATTCTTCTAGGCACCTTTCCTGTATTATCTCATTTTCTGCTCATAGCAACTATATAAGGTGTGTGCTTTTTATTATTATACCCATTTTACAGATAAGGAAACAGAGGCACAAAGAAGTGAAGTAACTTGTTCAAGGTTTCCAGCTGGTGGGTAGAGCAGCCAGGATGAGATAAGCAGGAGGTGTCTTGGGAGGAGGTTTCCATAGTGGACAGCTGCTGCCTGCCTGTGATTGCATCTCATTGCCTACCCCTGAGTCTGCTTCACTCAGGATTTCTCAGCCTCAGCGCTACTGACCTTTTGGCTGATAATTCTTTGCAGTGGGGGGACTGTCGTGTGCGTTGTAGGGCATTTAGTGGCATCCATGGCCTCTCTCCCTTAGATACCAATGGAGCTTCCCCTCCCCCAAGTTGTGACAACCACACATGTCTCCAGATATTTGCCCCTATTGGGAATCACTGCCCTTCTCAGCTCTGATGGGGCCATCATGTGTCTCCAGGACTCTTTCCTTCTGACTTCTTCCTGAGACTCGACCTCTGCCTTTATTGTGCTTTACGAAGTGATTATAACATTTGAAATTAAAATCAAATTATTAACAGATTTGGGAGCTGGAAATGTAAGATTAAACTTCAAGACTCTCCTTTTCTTTGAGAAGCATCCATGAACGATTGAGTACTGCTAGCATTTGATCCCTTCTGATTCCCAGCATTAAATTAAGTGACTGATGGGCCGGCCCGGTGGCGCACTGCTATAGTGCGCCGATTGGGAAGCGCGGTGGCGCTCCCGCCGAGGGTTCGGATCCCACATACAGAGGGTTGTGATCCGTTGCCGGTCACGAAAAAAGACAAAAAGGAAAAAAAAAATAAATTAATTAATTAAGTGACTGTTCCAATATGATGGGGAAAGGAAGCATATATAATTGCCACTTTTGCACTTCAATGTGACAGGAGTTACTGTGTTCAGGAGACTGTAAACTGACCATGCCTGTCATTTTTCCACTCTGAGGCCAGTAGGGAGGGCTTGCTGCTGTATTTCTCTGCCTACCCCTGAACACTAGCCTAGGCTAATGCACAGGCTCTCAGGTGTACCTGGGGGTGCCCAACAGACTGGTAGGACTGAGGGCTTCAGTGCTGCCAAAATATCTTCCACTGGCCTGTTCTGAAGTCATTCCTAAACATAGGCTAATTACTTATAGAAGTAAAATGTCACTAGCAATAGCATACGTACTTCCTATCATCTTATACTGACATCATAACTACAGTTTCCCTCAGTCAACTTCATTGAGCTCTTGCCATTTGCCACTCAGTGGGCTAAGTGCCACATCACTGTCTCTTGTGGTTCTCCTCGTGGCCCCATCTGAGTAGGTGTTATCATTTCCATAATAAAGACGGGAAAACTGAATCACAGAGACATTGAAAGACTTGCCCAAAGTCACATGAATGAGAAGTGGTGAAGCCGGGACTTAAACTCCTGTTTGCTCAATTCCAAACTTGTTCTTATAACTAGTAATGAAAAGGATATGTGTCTGTTCATCATATATCTATTGCATGTGTGTGTTTCTATATCTGTGTATGTTACAAGCCTGTTAGAAACTCAACCTTTGGCCGGCCCTGTGGCTCACTCGGGAGAGTGCGGTGCTGATAACACCAAGGCCAAGGGTTCGGATCCCACATAGGGATGGCCGGTTTGCTCACTGGGTGAGCGTGGTGCTGACAACACCAAGTCAAGGGTTAAGATCCCCTTACCGGTCATCTTTTTTTTTAAAAAAAAAAAAAAAAAAGAAACTCCACCTTTGATTCCACCCACAACGGGGCCAGCATTGTGTCTGGCTTTGGGGTGGAAGTCAGGGGGAGTCAGATCTCAGATCTCAGCACTCCATACCACCCCTGCAGTCTTGGCTTCTTCAGCCCTACTTGGCCCATCTGGCAGCAGGAAGCATCACCTGCCAGGCCTCAGGGACTGCCCCTCGCTGCTACCTGGTAGTCCTTGGTGGCAGAGAGAAAAAGTGGTTATGTGTCACAGCAGTTACTTCTGATGCTGAAACATTCCTTGTGTCTTCCTTTCAGCACTCTTGGCTTTACAGACTGAAGTAGAGGTTCCTCCAGTCAGATCCCAGTGAGAGCATTTGAAAAGGGAGGTCTGGATTTTACAAATTCATGCCCTTTTATTCCTAGGATTCCGGGAGTCCTGGGGAGGAGAGGAGCTACCTTAAAAAGTACCTTCATGCCTGGCTCAGAACAGTTGCTCGAGAAATAGTAGTTTTTTTCCACCCTCTCCGCCACCTGTCCATTAGTGCAAAAGAATCATGAAAAAGAGTTGTGGATGTTAATGTCAATTACTCAAGCTGAACAGTTCTCAAACACATTTTTTTAGCCTTTTGTCCATATTCCTGCTTATTGATAATTGGGAAAGGAAATGAAAAACTCAAATCCAGGCTGGCCAAATGCTAAAAAGTGTTTTTTTTTTTTTTGTCTTTTGTCTTTTTCCATGTCCGGCAACGGACCGCAACCCTCAGTGTTGCCCCCGTACCGGACCGGGGACCGGCAACGTGTCCGGCAACGGACCGCAACCCTTAGTGTTGCCCCCGTACCGGACCGGGGACCGGCAACGGGATCGCAACCCTCGGTGTTGCTCCCGCGCCTCGCTCAGCCAGTGAGCGGGAACCGGTCTGTATGTGGGAT